GCGAAAGCAGCTGGTCGGAAACACAAACTAAAAGGCACCTGTCGCACACACGCTGGTCTGTAAACCTTACCAAGTACGTGATAACATCGTAGCCCTGCTCCTTCAGCCAAACCAGAATACAGGACGTGTCCAGTCCTCCGCTGTAGGCCAGAACCACGGTACCTTTAGACATGATGAAGGCCGTTCAGTCCAACAGGTAGAGAAACTGTGGAAGAGACAGCAGGGAGGCAATTACATCAGTAACTAGCCTAGCTGGCAAGTAAATGTCAATATATAACCGGAGTGTACTGGGGAGTTAAAACAACCTCCTGTAATGTCAAATCTAAACACACGTGGCAATGTCTGATCTGTGTCCATGGTTTAAAAATAACAGCTTTATTCATCTTAAAAGCTGCACAGCTCCAGGCCCTGGTTGATCAACAAAAAGTAAGTTGACAATTTTTATAATCTATTTAAGGTTGAAGTAATTTATCAAGGACAAATCCAGACATGCTGCTCACATGTTCATACCGACTGCAGAACGAAAAAAACAAGCAATATGACTTCTCAATATTTTGTTAAATTTTAGAGACTAAAATGATTACATGACTGAAAGATATTTTTGTTTACACAATGAAGCAAATAATCAGCGGCACCCGGGGTCCTGAGGCTGAGGTAAGGCGCTCCCTCTATGATCTTCTAGTGCTGTAAAAGTCTTTAAAGCACTTTTATTGTAGTAGTAGAACATAAGGTACCACATTGTACTACCAATGTTATATATTGCTTAAATACTTCCTACTACTTACTACTGGTTCTACATTGGTAGATGTGTGGGTAGATTGTCCCACAAGAATAAGATAGTTTTTGTATTGTTAAAGTTTCATCAGCATGGTGTGAGGAGGGTGATGAAATCTTCCCAGGTGGTTTCCTCACTTCCTCCTCGGTGATGTATTTGAAGTAATGTAACGTTATGTGTGTGAGATTAAAAGGAACCCCTCCATTTCTGTGGTAAAATGTGCCACCTGAGGTTGTGAGAATCGATACCACGTTTACCATAAGTTCATTACTGATAGTTTGGAAAAACAAAAAACACCTACTATCAGATTTTCAACCTTTCCAAAAATAATAATAATAACAATGAACATTATTACAAATATATGTTCAGTGACTTTAGCTCCTGTGTGAAGCGTGTTAGGGTTTTTAGTGGTAAAACATAAAACACTAAAAACTGTAAAGACGAAGCAATTTCAATGAGGTTTATACGCTCACTGCCCATGCTAACCTCATGTTTGAGCTTCTCCTGGCTAGTGGCGACTAGATGCAACTACATTAACTATGACATACACATCTCTGTGGGGTTTGTCTGATGTTCTGGATAGCTACCGACAGGTTACATACGCATTTTCCCACAGCAACTGTAGAAAAACCCTGGCGAACCAGCGTTTCCTACAAACCGATACACTCAAGGAAAAAACAAGACGGTCGCTCAGATAAAAACCTTAAATTGTAAACGCAAAGAAAGCAACCATAGAGGTGGGTTGTACTTACGAAAAAAGAGTAGGTTTTCTTTATATGAGAGGGGAGACGTTGTCGCCGTGTGTCGGTCGGAGAGGAGTGGAGGAGAGGAGCTGCCGCGTGCGTTGTAGCGGCTGTTTGAGTCACCGCTGCTCCAGTCTGACTGGTCCAGCGCACATTGCGTCATCCACCGTTCCCATGTCGTCACACGGTCCCACGTAGAAATGTGATTGATAATAAGTGATGAAAGATGCTCCCGAGTTGCACTATGGAAGGATGCAACGTGTTTGGAGCTATACTATAAGATTCATTCATTATTTCACTGCAGAATTAATTATTATCAAATGTAAAATGACTCGTTCTGCTTAAAATTGTATAATTAAGTTTAATTTTGAGGTAATTGAGTATTTTAATTTCTGCTACTTTATACATCTACTGTACTATAATTCAGAGTGTATTCAGAGTATTGTACTATTTACTCCACTACATGTATTTAACTTAAGCTTCTTGTGACTTTGCAGAATATTAATACAACATATAAATCACTGAATACATTATGTTGCATTGTTGTTGATTAAGCTACAGCGGTATATACAGTTAAAAATAGCTTAACATTTACCAGCTGAACATTAAAGTGATGTACAAATTAATGAACCAAAATTATAATACAGTAATATAATACACATTATCTTGAAATGGGCCATTCTGCATAATTAATTTTGTACTTCAAGTATATTTTAATGCTAATTAGTTATTCATACTTTTACTTCAGTAAAGTACTTCTTCCACCACAACTTTATTATGGCATGTGCCACAATGTGAACATAATATAAGGGACTGCATGAAAATTATGAGAGAGGGACACAGGGAGGGTTTTTTGAGAAAGAGAGAGAGAGAGTGAGAGAAATATTCTTTTTGGCTTTATTGGAGTGCTTGAGAGTGAGGAGGCAGACAGGAAACAGGGGGAGAGGGAGGAATATGAGCACTGACCATATATATAGATATATATCTATATCTATATCTATATCTGTATACATATATATGAAATGCAACAAAGGTCACCAGTTAAAATCAAACTGGTGACATTGCAGCCATGCAGCATGCGCTGCAACCATTGGCACTCTGGAGGGAGGTTCTTTAAATTTTATTTAATTTTTTAATACAGTGTTTCCATTTGTGATTTATTATAGAAAAAAACATTTCAACTGAAAAAAAATTCCTTAAACCCTTACATCTTTAAACAAATACAAAATGGAGTTTGGAAAGGCACACATGCATGCTTAGTTCATGTTAAATCACTTAAATTAATAAAAGGAGGCATCCATGTTGCTGTATCACAGTCTTATTCAAAGTCATGGGAATGCTCCAAAGAATATATTAATAAGGCTGAGGAGGGCATTGCTTTATTATAAAATGATATACAGGATTCTTCCTGTTTCTCAACTTTACCACTGGGTCCCTGTAAAAGAGAGGGCCACACATGAAGTAATAATGCAGTATCATAATATCCACCTTGACTGACATTGTACTTTCGTAATGCAAATTCTCTGACAACTTTGCAATGTGATGGAAAATTTTAATACATTATGATACATTTTATGTAAACACTTTAATACACTCTATAATAACCTCACTCTCATGAATTATAGTGCGTGCACCCTATGTAACCTCATGCTTATGAACTATTGTGCATACAAAAATGTCTAACTGTTTCAAGGGTGCCCTCAGCACCTGGTACTTCTCCCACACGATGAAGATTAACAGTCAACCTGTGATTACAATGTCTCAAATGTTTTACTGTCGCTATGGGAGGAGAGGATGAATCCTCTCGAGACTGGCTCCAGACATCTCCCTTTTGTTCAAGGTTATGATGTTCGTTAACATATCTAACTGTTATCTACTATGTACCACCTGATTTGTTTCTTTTTCTTCAATAAATAAGGGTGCAGCTCTGAAAAGGGAGTCCTTTTCATGCTAACAAGCTGAGAGGTTCACTCTACGCAGAGTTACACCCGGGTGAAAAGACAAACTGACTGACATTGTCTAATTCTTGCATCTCACATGAATGGGCTGAATTGAATTTCCACCACAGCAATTAATGAAATTACCAATAAACCAGTAGACACACACAGTACATCTGGGGGTTTGGGGTGATTACCCTCTTTTACTGGTTGGTAATTTAGTCTTCATAAAATAAATTAAGAGCTAGTTCTACCAGTCTCTGTGACCTTATTAGGATTTAAAATATATTGCTACTACATTTCCAAAAGGGTGAAGGTAGCTGCAATGAAAATGTGTAAACCTATTTAAATAACACATAGGGTCACACATTTTGTTATGGCCTAAACTGGTGGCCAGCAGCATATAGATCTGTATGTACATCACTAACATATCATCTGCCAATATCTGGTCAGTCTTTCTTTCATAGTTGAATCTCTAGCGTCTCAGAATCTGACAGGACACAGAAATCTGTTTTTGTTGACATTAAATAAGTCTATTTTTGTCAGTTTAGTACCACATTACAGTACATATTTATAAATGGCATATACTCTGTAAACAATGACTTTATGTTAATAAATCACTTACAGATCAGTATATTGGTATATTATGTAATAAAAAAAGTAGTTAAGTAACAGTATACAGTAACATATATTTGACATTTCACATGTGTACAATGTGAGCATTTATGCATCCATTGTAACATTTACATACACACATAGACATAGTAGCCTTGAAAGGATAGTGTGTTTATATTTCTTATATTTCATTAATCATTTCTCACTTTCTTGGTGTCTTACATTAGATCTGAAGCAGTCAGTGTCCATTTTCATCTGGCTCATGTTTCTACGAAGCACTTCTCCTCCTCTTCATTGGTTTGCGTCATTACAATAACATTTCCCCCAAAAAGTCCTAAATCATTTCTAGTAAGAGCTGTTTGTTAAAGTTCACAGTGTCTTGTATAAAGTTCCATGGTGAACTAGTTTTACTTGTCAGGATTGTTTTTTTGAGCAGGTACGACTGTAAACAACACACACAAAACAACAATTTTCGATCATGGCAGCAATCACAAGCCCACTGCAACATGACACCAACAATCATCTTCAGGTGCTGTACGTACGCAGTCATCATACTCTGTCCTGACATGGCTGAAAATGACGAAACACTCCATTGCAGTAAACTTTTACCACAGTAGTCCATTAGAGGTCAGTGTTGGCTTTGACCATACAGAAACACCTGTCCAATACAACAGCTGTGTGATACTAAAATACAGTAGGTGTTTGTATAGTTCTTACATAGGTTTCATTCTGTGTGCCAAACATTTTTTAACTTTCCGTTACCGTTTTCTAAGAAGCTGTGATATCCAACAGGTCCTCAGCAAGCCTTCACTGTGCTGCATGTTCATTCTGTTGCTTGCTTCATTGGTAGACTTCACATTAACTTGATTATCTTGTCCACCAGCCTCTGAGAACACCATAAGAGCTAAAAACCTTGACCAAGACAGTGACTTTATATTTTTGAGTTTTTATTTCTTCGCCATGAACTTCCAAAATCAAAAAAACAAATGATCAAAAATACAATATAAACTTCTGAAAATCAATACACTGAATATTTTTTTAAGTTTCTTACACAGGGCAAAAAACACTGAGCAAAGACAAAGTCCAGTTGGCTAGTGACTCTGCTTAGTCCTCTTGGCTTTTCTAGATCGCAGAATATTGTGTTTCACAAACGCTGAGCCTCCCCCCCCCATTATCCCCGATCATATACAGTTCACTAGTTAGGCATTTGCCAAAGACGTACAGTACAAAGTGCCCATTAACAAGTCCTGGAGCTAACAATTGTGTTGAAATTTTCAATCAAGCACGACTGCAATCCACCACTTTGTATACAATGTCCCCCCTGGATTCGACTCCCCGTGAACAACAGTCAGTTGAGATTGAAGGTGTTTAGATGTATTGAAAAGCTAAAGTGTCAGAGGGGAAAAAAGAAGAGGGGAGATGAAATCTGGAGAGTCAAGATGAGTTGCTGTCAAATCAGTGCCCAAGTTCTCAGGATCAATGTGGTGAGTATTTTCTCAGGACACTCCCAAGATCCAACGGCAGAAAAAGATCAGCATCCACAGGGGGAACCCAAACTGCTGCGCTCAATCCAATTAGCTGGTTTTAGTCAGGAAATATGAACGTGTATCTATTATAACTTATGGCATAACACCCATAAAATATAATAAATTCTTTTCATTCCATTTGCACACAGAACAAATATTTCTTCCATCTATCCATTTGTTGTTTACTTTGCACTTTGAAATACACTGCCGTTTATTCTTGTTGTCATGGAAAAAGAGGACATACAAGAAAGGTTTAGAAAAATCTGGCATTATATATTTTTAACTTAAAAAAAACAAAAACAGCAGTTTGGAGGGAAAAAAAATGTCCATAGACGGGTGAGGTGGTGTCTGTGGATTTGGCCAAATAAAAAAAAAAAAGCTTGGAAAAAAACAAACGTACCCTGGTGGGGGGAACTGGAGGAGAGGGAGGGTCTTTTTGTCCCGGTCGGTGGGGGAAGTTAGTGGTGCTGTGCAATCCTCTTATCTTAACCCCCTTTTGCCTACCACTCTTTCTTTTTCTCATCCATGGACACTCCGCCAGGTCCAAGTGCCACCACCAGCAGCAGACCACCAATGACCGAGGTGGTCTGGAAGAAGTCGTACTTGAGGAAGTCGTGCATGGGCTTGTAGGCAGGGATGGTCCAGAAAGCGTTGAAGTAGACATTGATAGCCAGGAGCCACACAACGAGGGTCAGCGCCGCTAGCTTGGTTTTGAAGCCGATGGCCACCAGGATGATGAGAGCGGTCCCAACCATGTTCTGCAGGATCTGTGGAAGAATGCACACGGTAAAAGCACGTGTTTACCTGTTTAAAGTGTGTGGTCATCATTTCAGAGGTGGGCTATTGTTATTATTATCCATATGAATCCATATGAATCCATATATGTCTGCCCTTTGAGACAAATTTATATAAATAAAACTGGCATTATATGGTTGACATAGGCCTCTGTCTAAAAGTAACAAAACCCTCCTAATAGAACTTATTAATTAATTAATCAACATGTTATATCTTGTTTTTTGACTTCCTGGAGACTTGAGGTTGCCAGGCATTTGTTGTAAATATGACATGTTGTAGTTTTATGGGGCAGTTATGTACCGGACTATTTCCTGGCCTGGAGCAGTTGCCAGGCAACCAGCAGAGACTCCATGAAGCTACCAGGTCAGTCTAAGGAATAGTCAAAGCACATAACCCCCTTAAAACCTGAATTGTGTTTTTGGTACACTTTATTTTTTGTATGGATTAAACAAGGGTATATTGTGTTAATGAGTGACCTCTGAAGGTGTCAGTAAGATGGATTTTGTTACCTTTGGATAGATCCCAGTGAGCTGTTACTTCCTGCTTCTGGTCTTTATGCTAAGCCAACCAGTTGGCTCTAGCTTCATATTTTCATATATCGATCCTCTCATCTAACCCTCCGCAACAAAGTGCATTTACCAAAATGTGGAGCTATTCCTTTAAGTCCAAATCTAACCACTTTAGATTTAGTCTGCCTGTGAGCATTCAGTGTAGTAGCAATGGTTTCAACTTAAATGATGAATGCATCTGTGATTAGGCTGTCAGTACTCACAGAAAAGAAGTTGGAGTCAAAGTGCAGCAGAGTCATGAACATGAGCACTAGCAGTACTCGACCACCCAGCTGCATGTACTGCTTTGGCGAACTCTCTCCCATGGATGGGACTCCGGCAAACATGCTCTTTCCTTCCGAACGAGACTCAGCCAGCAGCAGGAGCAGACCACCTCCGAGGGCGAGGTTTCTAGGAGAGGAGAGAGGATCGTTATTTTTTTGGACAGCTCCGATCAGACCTGCAGTCAGTTCAAGCAGAATAATTCAGAGTGCATACAGTAAAATCCGGTTTGATAAGGCCGACTTCCATTGGCAAATAGTAACCAGCTGATGATCTCATTACTGACTACAATGAGGCTGTTGATTGATGATGATTGAAACTATGTGTTCTTTTCAATATCAATTAATATGCTACAAAATACTTACTATTTTGGTCTAATGAATGGCATAATGACCACACTGCTTATTTTTGTTATTTAAATTACTTAAATGATTTATCAGTAACAAAAATGGCATCCTTTGTCTTTCTGTCAAAGTGTCTTCTCTCAGCACTACACTCAAACGTCGCACCGTACTTAATGGATTTCTCCAATGGCCGATGACTCATCTGGCCCGTTGTTGTTTAAATAAATCAGAGGTCTTGTCTACAGTGATTACAGTAATTGTTGGTATCTGCTTGACAACTGAAGATACTTTCTCATTTGCTACCACAACAAGCAAATCAAAGTTTATTTTACTGAAGCAAAAGCACTACATGCTGCCTAACTGATTAACCCAGTTCTAATCTATGATCAAAAGCAGTGCAGGTCGAAACTGCACACCTTTTATGCCGCACATTTGGATCTGAATTTGAATCAGGCTATTGAAAACAATGATGTGATAATCACTGATGGCGGATTATGTGTGAGGTTATTGTACTGTGAAGAATTATTTTTACATTGATTAAAAACTACACTGATTGACACTTACCTCATCAAAAATTTGAGGTCCCATAAAATGCTGTAAGCAACAGTCTGATGGGGGGAAAAAAACACATTCCAGGTCAGATACAAAGATATATTGCTTCTGTACATAAAACATGTAATTCTAACGTAAGTCTTCTCACCTGTAATGCTATGATGCCAAATAATCCAAAGCAGGCATACTGTACAAAATTTCTACTGAGGATTAGGACACAACCGCCTGTTAGGACAACAAATAACAAGATATTAAAGAAAGGTTACGGTCATTATGGCCACAAGACACTTTAATTTTAATTTTCTTCTTTACAATCACAAAATGCCACCACAAGCTCTTGCCATTTTATCTGAATTAATCAGATTTTAACAAACAAGCTTAGACTTTGGGAGGCAAAACATGTGGTAGGATAGGTCCACAGATTCATACTGTTTATGCCAATCTCTGATTGTTAACTTCAGCATGTCTCAGAAGAAACCATATGACCCCCCAGCACACATTTTCCAACTGTCATGTCATGCTTTGGTGTTTACAGTATGGGATCCCTGCAGCTGCACATTTTGGTTCTTGCAAACAAGAATGGAACTTGACATGTCTTCTATCTGCTGCTTAGTTTTGGGGCGATGCCTTCATCAGTGTCAAAACTTGCTCTTACAGCCCATCTGCTTCAAAATCCAAGGAGCTCAGGGGGGGCATTTTCGCATCCACTGCAATAATTAACTGATCCGTGGACAAGTGGGCTGCCTCTTTGCTTCCAACGAGGATCGTCAGTCTCCACTGACCTCTCTAATCAGCAACACAGTTCATAACACAGAAGTGAAATTCACTGTGTTTGTATTTATTGCAAAACTTTCTGCAAACTGTAGAGACAACAAGGCTGAAATGCACTGAGCACATCTGTAAACTTTTCATTTGCCCTTTGCCCTAGATCATGAATCAAGTTCATACTAATACAAATGAATTTCCATTATTATACTGACTTATTGCTAATTTCTCATCTCATATTGCTACCATTTATCATCATAAGTCATCTCCCTTATTTAGCTATTTGACTCACTCCTCTTATTGTTCTTTCCAGAATGTTTCACACACACCACCCATTAACGCTAAAACACACCATGTAACTTCCTATAACTGTCAAACGTGTGTTGACTCATGCCAGTGCTGACGTTAACCTGACCAGGCACAGCCTCCCCTTCACTTACCCAGCTGTCCTATGAGATTAAGCAGCACAAAGCATGTAGCCAGGAAGTAGCCGCAGCTCCAGGTAGCCTCGATGTAGTCTCTCTGCTCATTCCACTGGAACCACATGCGGATGCCGTCTTCCAGGAAGGTGCTGATGAGACACAGACGCGCCAGGTGGGGCAGGTACTGTTTGGTTACCCGAAGAAACTGGGCAAGAGGGAAAGAAGAGGATACATGATTGACAGGAAAAAAAGGATGACTTAAAGTGCAAAGGAGAACAATCAAAGGATGTGGTTCCTGAGGTGTTGCTGAATATGCGACAACAGCAAAACTGAAAAACAACATTACTGGGTCAATAAGCTGTAACACATCTGAAAACAGAATTTCAAAAAAAGTCCCCTAAAAACTGTGGCCTGCTACTACTCAGATCAGAGTCTAAACATTGAAAGAAAAGAAGTAATCAGGAGTGGTACTAATTATTATTTACACTGTCAATTATAGGGATAGGAATCAACCCACTAGTCATTTGAATGCAATTGTCAAGCTAAATGAATGTTGAAACAGTAGTCATTTAAAGCTCAATTGCTGCCCTGGATAGGCTTTCCCTGAAAGAAAATCCCAAAAAGTCCTGTTGCCAAATGATTTAGGTCCCGTTGTACAGAGGAGTAAAAAGCATGTCAGTACCTGAAGCTATGATCGGTTTTTACTTTGCTTCAGTACGCAATGAATGATTTGAGTCAATTTTTGTCGCTTTTTTGGCCTTTTTTTCCCTTTGAGACATTTTTAGACTCGTCTGGTAATCTTTTACATTGCTGCCATTTAAAAATCAATACTGACTGTTTCCATAGTACAACAACTACAGTAACTTTTCACTATACAATATTAGAAATTCAAGAGGTTATACTGTATATGGTATTATTCTCCTCCAAATTATTCATGTTGAATATTCAATCAGAGCACAGACAAAAGCTGGAATACAGAATAGCATTAACAGAATACATTGTTATTGATTCACACAATGTACGAAGGCAAGACATATGCAGGATAGATGTTACGTGTGGGCCACAAATCTCAAAACAATAACAGAGTTGTGCCTTCATGCAACAGCCCCATATAAGCCTGTAGCATTATTTGGAGTTGGGGTATAAAGAGCATCAAAAAAAAAGAAAGAAAAAGAAACTAGCCTACTTCTTCTCTCAAACAGATTTTATGAAAAGATCTTCAGATAGTACAGTGACACAGTAGAGGAGCAGTGACTTGCCCCCTGCCCCGCCTACTCGGCAGTCCACATCAGCACTGTCAGACCTCGGCAGCCTATCAGCGTCCACCAACTCCCACTATGACTGCTATATGGGACATGAATGGACAGACTGGGAGCCAATCCGAGCGAGCCTGAGATTGCTGCAACAGCCTAGAAATAGACCATTTTGTGGAGTAATATGTAAGCAACATGTTAGCTAAAGACCCCTTAGTGAGGGATGTGCCCTTAACGTGGGCAAAGCACAGTTCATTACAAAGCACTAAAAAGACATTTCTGGATCCTTCTACCTAATGTTTTACAATGCACAGCACTCGTGATAGTACGGAGTGTACAAATCAATCAGTTGTAATTTGATTAGGGAAGTTGTGCAGTTTTGGCATGTAGGGGGGTCGAGTTCAGTCAACACAGCTGCCATAAACATGCAAGTACTGACTCCATGATTCAAAGTTTAAACTGCCTGTAGTCTTTCAAGGAGATAGCGAACATTAAAAGTCTGCCCTGTCCTGCAAAAACCATGAAACAGCAGCACACAACATGACAGCACACAACCTGACAGCACTACAGTAACTTTCCCAAAAGAACAGAAGGCAAATGACAAAAAAAACAAACCCCAAATCTCTGGGGCTTTTCCCCAAAGGGTCTATATAATAATGTGGGTCACAGGCTGACCTGAAATCTGATCGGAACATCTCAGCTCACCCCTTTAGATCAGTACATTGCAAATGGTCACACCAGTACAGTAAACACCCTCCAAAAAGACAGAAATAACTGCAAAAAAAAAGCAGCTGTGGCATGTGTAATAAAGTGAAGGTACACATCCAGTTTTGGGGTGAGCTTTGGGGTGAGAGGGCAACTATGTCAAGGCCATGTGCAGTTTAGGGGGAAAAACCAAATGCTTCTGCTACAACCATAAGCCACCTGTAATGCCAAGCCATTAGGTTGCTAAAACACAATATGACTAATAAGTGTGTTAGCCAAGAACTTGGGGGCTAAGGTAAACGATTTCACAATGCTCGACTGACACCGTTAACCATACTGTTAATAAACCAGGTGGCTACACACGACAAGCTAACTAGCTGGAATAATAAGGTAGACGTTCAAATGGGTAACATTTACCTGTTAACGTTAACTAGGTCAGGTCGGGTCGTCGCTAAACAGATGTCAGTGTGAATTAATAAGCTAATCCATCTGGAGACACATGACAGGACCAGAGAACCTCAACAGTGTGTGATGCAAATTAAAAACACGAGTAAATTAGCTACCGTATTGATCCAAAGTCAAGATAGTGAAGTCGGCTATCGACCGTGGACTTGTAGAAAAACTAAACAGCCATTAAAAAAAACAAAAAACCCCGTCTCAATAATGGAGGAAACCCTCAGGAGCCTCAACGTTAGCATTACTTCCAATCTCGGACTAACAAGTTAGCGGCTAACATGCTAACAGCGGCTAACGTTATCAACCGCCGTGCTAAAGATTGAAGTTACCTGGTCTGCCACGTCTTCGGCTGTATTCATGAGATCCTCCTGCCCCATATTTATCTAATATTACGATTTCTTTTTAAATATATATAATTAAGGCTAAGCGCAACACAGTTTCGGGAATGTGTTGGATGTTTTCCGCAGGCTGCTCTCGTACTGTTCCTCCCCCTGTTCACGTTATTTACTTGAAGATCTCCCGATCGCCTGGACGCAGAGAAAGGCCGCCTCCGCCCCACAATGCCCCGCGATTTGACGAGCGAGACAGAGCCCCCCTACATGGTACTGCAACCGCTGTATGCCACGTATACTGATCCGTGCAGGGGCTTGACACGGCTTTTTTCCTGCGTTGTTTACGGTTTGTGCACATGTAAACAAGCACAGGTTTATAGCTTCAACTCCACCTGATTTATATATATATATATATGTATATATATGTATATATTTCTCACCACAACGTGGAAGGCATGTTCATGTTTAACCCTCTAAGGTGGTTTGAGGGCACAACAATGGTTGTGCCAGATGTGCACTGTACTTTAAAAAAAAAAAAAAAAGTCTTATTTGGTCTATTAATACTTTATTTAATTAAAATTACGGTTAATTAGTTATGTTTTACTACTATAGTCTACTGAAAGTGCATTCAAATTATGATTTTGATCATTATAAATTGAATGCACTTGATTGAGTTATAAATTAAATAAATTAATGCATTTATGACTTTATAAAATTATTTGCTTTCTTGTTCACACAAGCTGGAGCTGTACGACTCAAACAGATCACGTTGTTGGACAACCTAACACTTGGTACTAACATCTTTCTAAACTCTATATAGAGTATGATTAATATCATTTTTATGCCTCATCAAACCATTCAGTGACCCACTATCTCCTTCATTTGTCACCCACGTGTCTACAAAGGTCATATAACTTCATTCATTTCAGGATTAATGTTTCTTGTAACCATTAATATCAGGTTTTCTTTGTGTTAATCCTGTGTTTATGACTGACCACAATCCTAGTACTACTACTTCAACTAAAAAGACACTTGAGATTATTATAGCCAAAGACCAAGACCCCCTTCTGTCAGCTCTCCCCACCATCTCCAAGGCCCCTCACTCCCTGGGCCCCTCGTCAAGATTCCTGAGGACACCATGTAATACAATAATGTTTGTAGGAGCTGGTTGTCAATACGTGGGGCTGCGGCTCATAGTTGGTATTTGCAGGAGAACAGCCCGCTCAGATGATGACCATATCTGCCATGAGAGGGCAGAGCTATGTGAAGGGTGTGATGGAGGTGTAAAAGAGGCCTGAGCTCACACATGGCTTGTTAACTGAAAGACTCTGTGGGGGAAAATCTTTAAATTCTGTGTTTTCACAAGCAGTGGCCCAGTGCACACCATACCAGCTGATATTATTTAAATGCACAGCAATAACTGTGACCTAGCTTTCAGTATTACATGTTTTTGCATGATAAACATGACATGTCCGCAACATTTAGAGGCAAAGAGAAGAGGAAATAGATGATGATAATACCTTAAATGAAAACAATAAGTCAGCCATAACTTGTTGCAGAGACTAATTTGAATGCAAAGTTTTGATAGTTCTTGACTTGGATGTTTTTTTGCAGACAAAATCAGTTTATTGCGACGTAGGAAGAACTTTTATTGGCAGCGTCAAAGTTTCTCGACGGTCGTAAGAAAAACTGTTTGCCGGTGACATCCCCAATTGCCTGCTAAGTAAGGTGGTTATTTTTCATGCTACTACTTCTTATATAGTCTTATAGTCTTCTGTGTGAGAAATGTCTACACGCCTTCTGCTTATCAAAGAGGAACAAAGATAGGTTTAAGATACTGTGCAATAGATGTCAGGCTTACGGCGTGATAGTTGGTGTCTGTAAAGGTCTCTGCTTCTTTTGATCCATTTCAGTCCAATTTCAATCAGGCTATGATAGTAAGAACAAAAACACTTAGACAATGTTTGTAAATCCAAAACTTTGTTGTATTTTATACTTGCACACTCGGTTGCAAACCAGAAAAATACAACTTATCCAGTCAACATGATGCGTTTACTGCCACTAACACATTTTCTCTGTCATGTTGGAACATCACATCTCGGAAATCAGACAATATTTCATACGCAGAAAATATGAAAAGTCTAATGGATGTTCACTCATACAAAGGCTGGTTCAGACACAGCAGTACTACTCCAAACTGGAAGTGCAGTGTTGAGCCTTGACAAATTAGCAGGTATAAAAATACTACATATGTTGGTTCTTATTATTTTTCACTTGGCACTTTTCCACGTTTCTTACGTCCTGATTTCCAGTGGTTATTTCGGATTTTCTTCTGAAAACCAGACCCGCCCTGGACCTGAAAGACATAAATATGACAACATTAATGTCTGTCAGGGGAAAACTCCTACACAGCAAAACGTCATTACAGTGCCAGCTAATCCCATTGATACACTGGATTACAAACACACCCAGAAAAACATGTAATTTCATATATTGACAGACCTTCTTGCGTTTCTGCAACATCTGCTTATCCACCTCCATTTCCTCCTCTTCATCTGTTTGGAAGTCATCATCCTCCTCCTTCTTCTCACCCTCCATATTTTCTTCTGCTGGGGTTTTTAAAGTGAATACAGAGGCTGTGGGAACATATGACACAGTGTTACAGCAAAGGAAAAAATGCCACTCTTCTGATAAACTGTTGGTTTGTTAAACAATAAATTCACTACTTTTTTCCTTCGAATGAAATCCTGCAAACTCTTGGACCTCACTGACACACTGTTGGACATAACAATCATAATAAAAGCTGACAGTAATGTCTACAGTGTGTACTGACAAGGGTAGAGGTCACTCATGCTGTCTTCTGAGTCACTGTGATCCTCGTCACTGGATGAGGGTTCCCATGAGCTGTTGCCATGTTTTGTAGACCTCCCCCGTTTGACCTCCTCTCCGGTGTCTCTGGGCCTTTTCTGTTTGAGTCTGGCTGGAGTGAATTCAATCCCTTGCTGCACACACTCTTCATCTAGAGCAGGAACGAGATAGACGTCTTATTCAGTTTTGAATGTGTCACTACTGAGCAAAGTTAGTAATAATATCGAGCAGTTGTAAAAGGCTCAAGGTACATTAGCAACACCGATAAGAACTGAAGCAATACTACAGTGCGAATATGAAATAGTTATTCCATCTGTATGAAATCAAAACTTTACGAGAATATTGTGAACGATGGTGGGGATAAAATTAAAATTGAACACCATTCTGGTTTTTCTAATTAACTGCATTCTGCACACAAACACACCTTAAAATGTGTTTAAAAGTGACACCACAAAAACACATTTTTATCAACAGATGCACCAGATAACTTTGGTTTCCTTCCTGAATAGTGAGTATAACACCAAGTCTACATGAATTGGGTTATACAACATCCCCACTGTGCAGAAGGCATACTATACCCACTAGTTAATGACCTATAAAAGTTAAAAAGACTTTTAAAAAGTGCCGTGCATGGAGATAGATGGTAATGCACTGACATTTAGAGAGGGCTTTCTTGAAGCGTTTTCCAGTAACATGTCTTAGGACGTGATGTGGCTGCCGGTTCAGGTGTCTGAGGGTCAGCTTACAGAAAAGCTGATTGCTAGAAATCAGGAGAGACAGGGTGCATCAGAAAACACACAAAATGCAGATTAGATTCACCAGTTCAGTCTATTTCTGAGTAAGAACTTGTAGCATTTCCTGTCATTTTTAACAGCATGTAAGATAAGGAAGGTGTTGGTGCTGCAAGCTATGAGTAAGAGTCTCCTTACGGTTGTTTCGTGCTTGGCACAATGTGTGGTTCGTACTGGGTGTAGTTGAACTCTGCAGCTGCACTCAGTTTCTCATATTTCTTCCCCTGAGTGAACTTCTGCAGCTCCGCCAGGTTGCATGGAAACTCATGGCCATTCAGAGTGCATTTGACCTGAAAACAACAAATTAGCAGCGGTTCATTTAGTGGCGTTACTCGTGTACATTTAGCCTGGTGCTGCAAAAAAAAAAACAACTAACACACGTAACCATCACAACACTCCACAGTGCATGGCTCATGAGGCACATTAGCAATACGGCTAGCATCACATTGTACGGACAGTGTGTTTCGTGCAATGTGTTTTACTCGCTAACCTTTTTGTCATCTGTAAGCTGAAGGAAGGGGTGGTTCAGAAGAAAAGCTCTGAGGTCCGCTGGTAATTCGTCCATAGCTTTAAAACAAACACATCAGAACAGATCTTGCAGTGTGTTGATCAGGCCACCCCCTTACAGGAAATGTCTACACGTGGGTCGACCGCGCAGACTCTGTTGGACGATATATTGGCGCCATCTACTGGTCAAAGTGAGGAAGGTCAGCTCAGATGCTAGCAGGCAAACTGACGCAAACAAGGCCCCGTAAACATTAATTAAAAAACTCCAAACATACTACTCAGTGTATTTTATTATGTAGAAATTGTGTCGATAAACAGAATAAGTTCAAGTGACTCAAATCATTCTGCCACAGCACAAAAATAAACGATATAATTATAGAATAATTAGCTTAAGTCAGGCGGGTTCAGTCAGCTGACTGACAGCTCGGAGTCAGAGAGCAGGAAAATAAAAGAGGCCCCACTCTGATCGTATTTCTGGAAACCAAACGTGTAGCGACAAATACGGGAGAAGTTTTAAATGGAAAACTTTACCTTGCTTGAAAACGGACACTAGTCATAGTTACGCAAAAAAACAAACAAAAAAACCGCTTTATATATTTTCTGCAGTTTAGGATTTATGATTTGTTCGTTTAGCCACGCGTCGTTTTATCTGTACAGAGTGAGTGCTCTTACTTTGGACTAAAACAACCTTTGCTGAGAACATAAAACTCCGCCCACATTTCTCCCACAATTCATCGGTTCAGTAAACAAACGCAATGACAGCAGATGTCAAACTAGCGCTTCTTCACTAGTTCTCCTTTATACAACCAAAGGCTTCATTTCCTCCTGATTATTATTCAAACCGTCTTAAAATAAAGTTAAAGTAGACATTTAATTGTTCATTTAACTGAATTTGAGCTGGTTCGTTTGCTAATGCTAATAGCTGGCTTATTTTTTTTGTAATTAAGTAACATTGTGAATATTTAATAATGTCCGGACCAAATGGAGATCCAAACATCTCGATTGACGATGGTATTATCAACGACGACGATGATTTCGGCGATGAAGAAGGTAATGTGTTCACTCATTGTAATCCATGCTAGTAGCGTTATTGCAGCAACTGGTTAATGAGTGTTATTCCAGGGATTGATGGTCAGTAAAGTCTAAATCTACGAAGTTAAAGCAGAGCATTACATCTGGACTTGATGACAGATGAACCTGAATTTGAATTAGCTCAGTTGGATGGAGGGATTTATGATTGAGATGTTACATCCAAGCAAGTTTATTTTAATGTTGGACCCCTATCTGCCCCCGGTAATATCACTGTAGGTACTCCAGTTGACAGCAATTGTGCATTCAGCTTGAAATCCTCAAATTAAATCTGCTCAGTACTGTGGAAATGAGTTAGAAATACACTGGTATACCAACAGGTTTCTGGTATATGATGTTAACAGCTTTAAAAGTCAAGTCCACATATGTTGTTTATTTCCTGAGATTTCCCATGTTTGATACAACTGTCAAATGTGATGTATTGTCTGTCTGTCTGTGCTGGTTTATACATTAAATTATACAGTTACAGATGTTTATATGAAGTCATAAATGGGTAATTTTGTCCAAATGAATGGGGGTGTATCAGGGATATAAAGATATAAATGAATCAGCTTTTTTTTACAGACCAAAGACTCTTTACTCTGTGATAGAAGCTCTTGACTTTGCTGATAGAAAGGACTAATGTCTCTGTTGTGTGTCCACAGAGTATGAAGCCATCAACTCCATGCTAGATCAGATCAACTCCTATCTCGATGACCTGGAAGAACGGAACGATTCACTTAATGGCAAACTGCACGAACTAATGGAGTCAAATCGGCAAGCCCGGCTGGAGTTCAGGGCCCAACTGGTCGGCCCCCCGACCCCGGAGGACTGTCCTGCAGACGGGGACTCCTCCTCACCCAGCAACGAAGACCTGAGCGAGGACAGTGGTGCTGGGAAATGAGCGACAAGAGTGGGTAGATGAGGGGGATTGAGTTCAGCAAAATGCAGGGCTAGAAATAATTATTACATTTAAACTGACTCAACTCCTATCCTGTCTGTTGGACTAGTGACCATTGATCTGCATCGTTTATGCCTGTTGGACTCTTCTGTGAATTTAAACCCCCATCAGCAGATGTGTGATTGCTTCTCCTCCATCTATCACTGAAATCAGTCTCTTTTTTCCTCCTCTGTTGAACTGTGGGTGCTGATGTTTGGTTCCTGAGCTCAAACTGCGAGATCATGTTTCAATCAGTTGTTTGATTTAACTTCTACATTAACCAGGAGGCAAGATCTTGTTAATATTAATCCAGCACTGTGTAACATGCTGATATTCAGTTGAACACCACTCCAGGCTCTCTCCCATGATCTTCAGAATTTGCTCTCATGGCCGAACAGGGGTCACAGTAGAACATCAGCGCAGTGTGTTGATCCATGTAGAGTTCACATTCAGCTGTGTAATAGCTGTACAGTCTTAATATTATTCCAAAAAAAGTAAATATGCAACATTCCAGATGTCTACCCGTGTATTAAAATGTTTGATCTGCAGCATGACTGTAACTCTACACCGTGCTGTCCTGTTCAATACCATTAACCTGTTTAGGATGAGTGACGCAGTCTGTAAAGTGTTTTTGTATTCATGTATATGTTTAGGTGCTCAGCGTAAAAAAAGTAATGTCAACAAAGAGCGGGAATTGTCAAGACATTTTAATATAAATTAAAATGACCCCCCCCCAACAGAAAACAAACATCCAAAAATACATTAAACTTCCAGCAGTTAGAAAACATTACCTATTTGTTCATCTCAATTTGTCAGTAGCTGAATAAAAATACAATAAGAAACATACAGCTTTGTTTGAAATTATACTGTACATGTCTCTTTCTCCCTCCTGCTCCCTTCTGTCTCCAATCGAAAAAAGTACAGTTTCCATCAATTCTTGTTCCTTCAGACAGAAAATGATGTGTTAATCATGTGACTGTCACCACCGTGACTACAAGAGTTGCTACATGTGTCAGTCAGTCGGTCTTTTGTGGTTTAAAATATCCTTCTCTAATATGGAGGATGAAATGTTTCCAGAGCAGCACACTAGTCATGAAGAACAGAAGAAACATCCTTATTTACTGCTGAAATGCTAGAACCAAAATTAAACATGTGTAACCTGTAACTGAGATAATCGGCTGTATGTTACCGGTGCTTAAAATCAGAGTGTGTAAGGATAGTTTGCTACATTAAATACCTACAGACAACTTCATGTTTTGTTTCCCTCCTATTAAATATGATTCCATCTGTCAATCTGCTCCAATATGAGCGATTCTATTCAAGTTTTGAAAACCCTTCTAGCAGCATTAACCTGCCTTGACTGACAAGCTTTCATATTTCAAAATAAGAAAATTGCAGACAGTGCAGCCTTTTTGTTGTTGTGAAGCGTCCTAGGGGAAACACCTGTCTTCCGTTACTGAAAGATTCTCATTTTAGAGCCCCTTTAACATTTCAAAACTACGAGGGTTTCTTTTCCATATGACTGTGTGTTGACGTAAAAAGGTTTTTAAACATGTTGACAGGTGTTCACTACTACACTCAGCTCCTACAGATTTTGCTGGGATTTTTTTAACTCTTCATTATATCCCCCTAAAATTCTCATTTACTGAAGTGAAAAGGCCACAGAACTTTTTTTTCCCCGAACACGACATTAACTTGAACCCAAAATGTCTCAAAAAAAAGAAAAAGGGATGATAAAATGCCCTGAACAAGGCTATGATCAGACTCAAGATTCAGCATTTCTCAACACTCAAGCCAAACTACCATTTTAATACTTTTTAAACAAAACTTATCACCTGCTCAAACACTTAATTTGGTTACAGTCTACATTTCAGGTTGCTAAAAGCGTGTTCTACGTGGTTAGCAATGTTGAAAATGTCATTCATCCCAGCTAGCTGGAGAATTAGCAAAAGCTGACAGTCTGCCCTCATCAACCTCCTGATCCATGCAGACAGCAGGGTGGGAAATTAACTTTTCTGGTGAGGCAGCCTCAGAGACAAGTGGATGTAAAATCTACCAGTCACCTTCTTTTCTTAAACCCAGCTACATTTTAAAAACCTTGGTCACTGTTTGTTTAGAAGTCAAAATCAATTACACTCTTTGTAATACTTAAGAATAGAACTTGGGGGGGGTGGAGAACTTAAATTTACACTCAGCATTTATGATTTTAAATCAGTGTGTCCCGATTCTTTCTACTTGTATACAGCCTGCGGCTCCAAGAGGTTGTACTTTGGCACTGGAGTACTTTAAGCTAGATTCTAATTCAACCTGCTAACATGCTCACAATGACAACGTTAACATGCTGATGTTAAACAGGTATAACGTCTTACCATGTCCTCCATCTTAGTTTGGTGTGCTAACAAAAGCACTAAACACAAAGTTAAGCGGACGCTAATGGGAATGTCATCAGTGGAAAGGTAAGGGAGTCATTTAAATTAATCCTGACGGGGACACAAATGTAAACCACACTAAAGTCAGAAGGACACTTCCTCTGGGGACCATTTTGTTTTTATCCACAATTTGTTTTGATGTCTGCAGCCGTGAGCAGCTCCTCCATTTCCTTTTTGCACTGTGGCAGATTTATTTTGTCACTTTACTCAGAATCTGCTTGGATTATATTTTAGTATGTAGTATAGAATTGGGACACATTGGCTAACCAATAAAAGGAGCCTCTCCTTACTTAAAAAAAATAGTATTTATAACTCAACATAAATGCAGTTTTTACAGATTTGTAAATACCGAAGCTTGGTGCACATACTTTGTAATTTCTTATTATTTCGTTGCTGTAATCGAACGTCTACATTCTCTAACTGGGATTCACGGATTCAACCTGTATTTGATCGCTGTCAGGTGTTAACCTCCCACCCTGGGAGAACAATTCATATATGAAGTCATGTTCCACCACAATTTACCATCATTCCGTCTTCCTATTTGTTGGTGTGTGTTTAATTCAAACTTTCCAACACAGAGAGAGGCAGGGCTGTTCACTTCTTGGTCTCTGTTTCATGAAAGCACCTCTTCACATACCGACACATCCTTTTCTAAGGTTTACTCTTAGACTCAGCGTCTGTTTGTGGCCCTCCCTGACCTGCGTTTCGATGTGGTTTTTCCCTTCCCTGTGCCGCTCTTTTTTCCTGGGACAGCAGGAGCTTCCTTCTCCTCCTCCTCCTCCTCCCTTTTATTAGCATCCTCAGCAGTAGCTGCTACCTCTGAGCCAGGCTCCTCTCTGCTGCCAGCAGGCAGCTCAGCAGGACTCTCCTGAACTTCAGAGGCCTGGGATGTGGTCTCTTCTTCCTTGCAGTGGAGGTCTTGGTCTGTGCTGCCAGTGCTGGTCGCTGAGGTGGTGGTGAAGTCCTGTGAGCTTGGCTCGGGTTCTGCTTGTTCCTCCTCTTGCTGGTTTTCTGTCTGCATGTTCAGTCGGGTGAGCGTAATGGTAGGTTGCATGGTCTTTACGTCTGTCACTAAACCAGTGTTGTCTGAGTGGGAATTTTCATCCGAACAGTCCGTGTTGGTTTGTGTTGGGCTGAGGCTGTCTGCAGCTTGGAGAGATTCTCCGGAAGATGCAACACCTTCACCCTTTTGACTCCGCAACTCTCTGTACCTCTGAGAAGAGAAAGCATAAAAATATTGCAAATGTGTGGAAATTCCATCAAGAGCTTACTCATGTTTGGATTGAGACTGAGGTTATACAATCAATAAAACAAAATACATACACCTCTTAAAGTTAAATTACAAAAAACTTTAATAATATAGTTTACTTAACATAGTTAGCCATCTACGTGCCTATTTAGTAGTGGAAACAATGTAAGTGAAGTCCTAAAAAAAAACCAACCTTGAGGTTCTCAAAGTGCTTCAGTGATTTGCAGTGGGTGTGAAGAGCAGATGATTCAAAGTGGTAAAATTTGTTGCACAGTCTGCAGATAAATCCTGCTACTGGAACAAAAAAACTGGACCCTGCAGTAGAAGAAATCCAAGAATAAACTCAAATGTGATATTGAACGTCATCTGTAAATCCAAACAACAAGAACAAGCAGGAAAACAACAAAATGATGAAGAATAAGGAGTTAGTTGTTACTCACCATAGACTGTGTCAGGGTCATACTGCTCATCGCTGGCCATGTCCTTTAGAGTCACCTCGTTAAGAGAGGACCAGCCATCCTGTACCAGGTCAGCAGTAACACAGTAAACAACTATAGTATAACAAATGCACCAACTATGAGATGTTTTCAAAGGGAAAATCTCTAAGTGATATTTACTTACTGACTTAAATATACATTTTGTCAATTGCCTCTTTGGAGGGAATTAAAACCATGCACAAATGATATGCAAATCACCTGTTTCTCAAAGCATTCGTGGTCTTCCTCACTCGTCTCTCTTTCCCCTCTCTCCTCCACCTCATTGCCCTCCACCTCTTCCAATGAGAAGCCGTCAGTGTCCATGGCAGTCAACTTGCCTAAAACCTCACAGCCCTCCTTTTCCTGGAGCTTGTAAACAGTGGACAACAAGCACAAATATTTAATTTCATCTTTGTTTATGGAAAAAAAACCCACTTGATTGTTGTTTAATCTAAATCTAAATCAGGAATATAAACACAGACAGATACCTTCTCCACTTTCAGTCTGTGCTCCTGGGACTGCAAGTGCTCCACAAAAATCTGGGAGGTCCTGAAGTGTTTCTTGCAGATTGTGCAGGAGGAGATGGCTGTCCTACTGGCAAGCTGACGAGAGATTGAGGGAGTACTGATTACTCTCATGTAAAGCAACCAGAAAAGCTGTTGCAAACCATTTAAAAAACTTCTTGAACTCAGCATTTAAATGTGCTTATCTATAAAGTGAGCAGCAAATTACTTTGTGCTCCTCTGTGCGACGGTGGTCCGTGATGCTGCTGGTGAAGTGGGTGTGACAGGTGGCACACCAATGCTTCGCATCTTCTTTCTTGTCTCTGCAGAGAACACAGACAGCATTATTCAAGACTCATAAGGATCATTTTATGTGTTCAAAAGCTCCCCCTATGTTAAACTCAAAATGAATGGCCAGAAGGTATGAATTTCACTTAATTGACGCCAAGTGCGTGTTAACTGACCCGTCTTTGTTTGCTCCCTGTAGAGACTCATGCACTCGTGGCAGCAGGGTGACCAAGCATGCGTTGCTCATGTGCTGGATCTCCATCATCCTCTGCTGGTGGGAGACACTGTTCATATGACTCCTGAAGTTCTGCAATAGAGGAGAATAGTTAAACTAAACCCCTGCACTTTCCACTGTGGCCTGCGTATGTTGGTGTGTGTGTGTGTGTGTATACGTTCAACCTACTTGCTGGTTGTGGCAGGTTATGCTGCAGAGGTAGCAGTAGAACTTGTTGGCTCCCTCTGCTACACCCTCCTCCTCTCCTTCCTCCTGGTCGTCTGGTGAAGCCAAAGGCGCATCTTTGCCCTGTGGCATCTCCTCCAGGGGTAAATTAACCTGCTGGTCATCTTCACTCAGCCTGCCTGATGGGGACGGGGCTGACGAACAGCTGTGCACCTGCAGAGAGGTCGCACACCACATCTAAACCCAGTGTCATGCATGAATTTGACTGAGGCTGACAAATACTGATCAGCTTTCAGCCTAGTTACTTCAAAATCATCTATCATCATTTAGTGTTTGCTCTGCTCACCTCTGCAGCTCTGCTCTCCTCCAGCGCCTCAACAACATCCGATGCCCCTGTGGAGCCTCCTTCCTCCAGAATGATGCAGTCTGAGGAAATATCGGAGGCCAAAAGAAAGACAGTAAGTTTTCATCTCTACAGACCTGAACTGCAGTACATTTAGATGACATTAATGCATAATGTGTGAACTGTTTCAAACATCTGCTCTACATTTCTGCTGGTTTTACCTTCAGTCTGGCTGTCCTCTGTGTTGCTGTTACACAAAGAAACAACTTCTCCATCTGTATCTGCAATAGTGACAGTCTCAACAACACAATGCTCTTTGGGCTCCTCTGACCTGAGAAAAAAAATGAAAAAGAGCACAAGAAGGAAAAACATGTAAATGTTGAGGTTTAGTAACTGAGGGGGCATTTCTGTTTAACAAGGTTACCCCTCTGCTTCCTTAATTCATGAGTTTCAAGTAACAAAGTCAGCAAACCTCTATTATCTTAAATTTTGTCTTCCCTAATTTGTAAAACAGGATAAAACATTAAAACCTGAGGATGTGATGTAAGGTCAAGATTTACTACATTTAAAACAATAAAAAAATGTTTGCCCTACCCCTCTATCCTCTGCTTCTTAACGACAGGTTCGTCAAGTTGCTCCTCAGGGGGGTGTGTGGGACCATCCACTCCTCCCACGGCGCCATCTGTAGGTAGGAAAACATCAGGTACTAACAAATGTTCACCAATAACCTTCATTTCTACACAAGCTCAAAGTCACATATGACATTCAACACTATATGCTGTAACAAGCTGGTTGTATTGCAGCTCTACCTGTTTCAGTATCGTCAGTGACTTCATTGGTACTGCTTGCTGCTGGTTGGTCGTCTGTGCTCCCCGCTGCCATCTGCTCGCTGTCCCTCTTCCTGTCTGGCTGGCGAGCTGCAGCATCCTATACAGAGAAAACAAGAGTACAAATATGGTCTATATGAAGAGGCCTTGCCTGTTTAATTAAGTTAGCATGAAGCACAGTACTCAACTGACAAAGCTATACATCCAAATCTGAAATAATGTAGCTAAGAAACATAAACAAAAGATTGTGGATGTTCATCTAAAAGCAATAAAAATCTGTTTAGCTCCTAAATTTTGTTTATTTAATTAGAGAGGATAAAATCATTTGATAAATAGGTCTGCCCGAAGACCAAAACCAACAAAGAATTCATCCTGCTATCAAGTAGAACTACAACTAAGAATAATTTATATTATTGATTTATCTGATGTTTACTTCCTTGGTGAGTCAATAGAGGGTCAGAACATTGTGAATATGCTCATCGCAATTTCCCCACACCTCAATTCGACATGTTTAAATAGCTTGTTTGGTTCCAAATTAGCCCAATACCCACACATGAGAACCAGTAACCAATGGACTTTTGCCTAAAACATGACTTCAGTGTGTCTATTAACTCATTTCAGCTCATACATTCTCTATATTCAACCAAAAGCCACCATCAAAACACAAAAAGGTCATGTTTCCTTTTAGTGATCTGTTCTGTACGTTGCAATCTTAACTAATGATTTGACGCTTGCTCCATTTACATTTGGAAACCCTGATTTTGATTTGAGTGGGCTACAATTAAATTACCTTCCACCACAGCGAGAACATTTCCACTGCCTCTGATTGAGTCTATTGTCAAACATTGATGTATTTGTCAATCACAGAACCCTAGTGGAGTGCGTTAGCTGGACTGCAAACCTACAGAGTGATTATAGTCATAATAACGTATGGTGCTGTAATTACTGTGGTAGTGGTGGAAGAGAAGGAGGAGGAGGAGGAGGAGGAGGAGGAAGAGGCTGTGTTGTTGTTGTTGTAGTAGCGAGCATGCGGGTGGAACTGTCGAGCAGCTGGGAAGCCCATCATGGGGGTCTTGATGGCCATCCCCATGGGAACCGGCCCGAGCAGAGAGGACCTGGCCCCAGCTGTGAAGAACTGACGGAACTGCTGTCCACCCATCCCAAAGTTTCGCATGTTACCTGGATAAAAGGGACAAAAAAAGCCAATTATAACCCCTTGTAAATGACTTATTTAATGCTTTTAAAACACATGATCTGTGAAAATGTCAAAAGAAAATTCCACTGCTCTTTTTTCTTATTCTAAATGCTGCTGTCTTTACACAATAATCGAAACTGTACCCTGCATCTGCTGCATCAGTAGGGCCCCCTGCAGCATGGGATTGGGGGCGATGATGGTAGTCTGGGTTGCCTGGCACAGGTTGACCATCCTGGGAGGAGGAGCTGTCTGGGGAGAAACGCCAATGGCTCTGGGCAACAAATAAATAAAAGGAAATAAACATGCTGTATCTTGACATGGACATCTGCACACACTCGTTCTCTTCATATGAAATCACAAGCTGTCCATGTTATTTTTCTTGATGAATCTATGCTTGTCTTCTGACAATAAGATGCTAAATCAAATGAATACGATTTGTAAAAACCTTGCTATCTTACAGGGTAAATGTTATTCCTAAGAATAAATACAAGACCTGCATCCTGAGTTTTTTTATGCCGATTAAAGATAGAGTAACAAAAGCTAGGAGTGGCGAAATTATGATCAAACTTTGTTTGGATTGGTGGCCAGCAGAGGTGATGTGGTCATACCTTTTGGTCTGGGGCCAGTAATCTTGCGACATTGTTTTATATTTAATCTGCAGTTTATCAACACTACCTTTGAGCAGACTAGATAACAGAGCATGTCAATAGTCCAACTATTAATATAAATATATTTGACAACAGAATAAGTATCTGATCCACAAAAACGATGTAGTAAAAACTTTGTATAAGATATACCAGTGCTGCTAGAATGGGACAGACATAAATATTACCATATAATTACAGGTTCTAGGTCATAGGTTTATCTTAAAAGATAAAATAATTACTAATGGACTAACGCACAGCCAAGATGTACAAGCTGTTATTCCATTTCAATTAATAATGACTGCACACCCATTATTTCCATCTAACCCTGGCATGTGTTGTGGCAGCTTCAGCCACACAGCTCATCCAGAGGGCCTTGCCTAATCCCCGGTCTAGAGTTAACGGTCTTACCGCGGTGTCTGGTGGTGGTGATGGGGGACATGATGCCCCGGAGGCGGCTGCGGCGGAGGAGGAGGAGGAGGCTGCTGCTGGAAAAGTTGCTGTAGCTGCCGCAGGTGCTGGTGAAACTGCTGCTGCTGTTGTTGCTGCTGCTGCTGCTGTTGATGGATGTGTGGGTTGAACATTACGGGCTTTTTATTTCCTCCGCTGCTGTGAGTTGACAGACCCGCGGTTGAGAGGGGGCCAATGTTTGGAAACCCGTTAAAATAAAATAAAAAAAAAATGTCTCTGGGTCGGAGGAGGAAAAGAAAAAGCTTTGTATGATTATTTGCTCCTGTGGTCAGAGCGACTCATTCAATAACAGTGCGCACGTCCTGAGACAACAGGTCGCTTCTCGTATTTCATGATGACAACTAGCTAGTGTTAGCAAGCGAGCTAACCATAATTTACTTTTTGTTTACTTTGTTTTAAGTAGCTAACTTTGTGAGGAGAGCCGCGTGCTAACCGCTTGTTTTAGGGAAGGGGGTGTTAACGTTGTTCGGAAACTAACACAAAGTAGAAATACTGTGTCAATAAATGAAGAAGCTAACCCCCGTTACACCTGCCATGAAATGAACGAAGCTACATTAGCCACCGCTCAGTAACTAAACACAACAAGGTAGCTTAGCATAGCATTGAAGTAGCATAGCTAACTCGCAGATAAACCAGCTGCGCCTCCTCGCCGTACTCCTTTCTACATTTTTTTTATTTTTGTTTACCTTCCTACGGTTGTTAGGACTTACTTCTCCAAAGGGAAAGCAGAGATGGTTGCTGATTATCCGATAACAATCCCAGCACAGTTATGTGCTGAAGTACTCGCTCTCAGTCCCGGTGCAACTTGCACAAAGCAGAAAACCCCCCAAAACAGGGTCCACAGTCTGAGTGCAGCCTGTCGCCCCCTGGTGGTTGTCTGGAGAGCTGATAATGCTTCATGTGTCTGCATAATAAATAAAGATAATGTAGTGTTTTTAATTAAACCTGCCAGTGTTTATTTCACAGACCGAATCCCACTTGTAGATTTAATGATTTAATGAGTTTGAATTGTTAGGGCTCTTTAATTTACATTTTACACTTACTACTATACTAACCCTATCCCTAAATAATTAATTGGGACATCATTGTTAAACCAACCTGCAGTGGCTATTAGATACAAAAATATACATTCATTTACGTTTAACAAGAACTTTACAATAATGCGACTGCATTATACACAGTACATGTCATACATATTTCATCCTGCATAGTACATGTCATGATACTATTATTGTAGTTTGTCCATTGTATAGGATGAGTCTATATATATATAACACTATACCGTTATATATAATACAAATATACTATATTTGATCAAGGTATATTGTGTTAAAATTCATGTTGAATATGTTATTGGTAACCTGTCAAGAACAGAAGTGTTGGACATGGATGCTGACCTGCATGAAAAGTCACCAAAATCATATCTTCTGGGGGCCGCAAATAAAATATATTTACAATTTTATCCAGTAGCTTTCAACAAATGTCGCTCCGGAACAAAGTGTTGGTCCGCAATCCATGGATAAAAGATATACTGTATTATAAAAACAAATACACAAAAAGTTGTAGAGTGCCCCCTGGCCTCTGTCCGCGGTGCTAACGGATTCAGCACCATGGACAGATCTGTGCATCACAGAAAATGGTGTGTTTGGGCTATAACATCAAAAAACTGGATGCCAGATTTCCCACATACACCTCTCTAAACGCACTCAAGCAAGATTAGACATGGAAAAACAAAGACATCCCTGTACCAAACAGCACAATCTGACAGGCAACACAGTGAAAGTAGACCAGTGTCCCCACCGAGCGGTGCGTCTGGAGAACTGCACGGATCTCTCCTGAGAAAAAACATAAGAGATCATCCTCATCCTCCCCCCCCCTGCGGTGCTCGGTGGAGAGGAGTGTACATGCTCGGTGGTGGAGAGCGTTCCTAGCGGAGGTGGATCTGACACATTGAGGAGGAGGAGGCGCAGTCAATGAGGGTACTCGCCGAAAAAAAGTGAACCGGTTGTGTGCGCGCAGTCCAAAACGCCCTCTAAACGCGAGGGTGGCGAGCAGAGAAAAATAAGAAGTAAATCCCTCCCTGCTCTGACAAGGAAGATAGACTGCCTAGTGCGACGCACAGATCGCAAAGATGGGGAACCGGGGAATGGAGGATTTGATTCCTCTGGTGAACCGCATGCAGGATGCCTTCTCTGCCATCGGTCAGAACGCAAACCTGGACCTGCCCCAGATCGCCGTGGTGGGCGGCCAGAGTGCGGGAAAGAGCTCGGTGCTGGAGAACTTCGTCGGGAAGTAAGTAGCTTTTTGCAGGCTGGTGCGGCCCGGTGCCTCACACGAGCGGCCGCAGTCGCTTTCGTTTTACGCTTTACGCACCCCCAGTCCCCATCCCCCTTATCATGCAGGTCCAGCACACAAGCTCCACTAAGATCCAAATGGTTGCACATTTCACCAGTTTTACCCCCTTGTTTTCTTCCATGGACACGACACCAAAGCGAGGAGATTAATTTGTTAGGCCAAGCCTATATAAATCCCTGGTGAAGTTTATCTGTTAACTGCTGCATGATGCATTCACGAAACAGCAAATTTCTGTTAAATTACTTGATGTTTAATATGATAAACCGCCTCTGGCTATGCGTGGCATAAAAAAAACGGCTAAATAAGTTTCTAAACTTAATAATTTGGGTGCCAAACTGACAGAAAGTTGGGCATGTGTATCATTATAAATCCTATATCACTTGTCACAGACGCAGGGTCAGTTTGGATGCTGACTTCCTGTACAGCAGATACAGTTACAGGCAGCTTGGTGGATGTGTTGTTGTTTATGTGGCAGTGCTACCATTTTGTCAGGCTATTTAATCCTGACCAGGCAAAAGGTGCAAAATGATGCTCACTGTGTGTGGAGAGGATTTAGTCTTGCAAACGTGCACAATTTTTCTTTCTGTCAGAGCTGATGAGGATACAAGAGGAACAAATCTGATCTGTTATGCTGCAGTATGACCTTGCAGAGAAAGAGAGAGACACACACACACACACAGAGAGAGAGAGAGAGAGAGAGAGAGAGAGAGAGAGAGAGAGAGAGTCCACCTGAGCTTTGAGCCCTTCAAGCTCAGCACCCATCTGTCTGTCAGTGCTTATGGTGTAAGTGAAGCTTACTGCAGGCAACAACATGCGTGTCACAAGCTCGCTGTTGTTCAGCCGTGTTTTCTTGTATTTCACCTGATCTGAAGATTTTGTGGCTTTATATAGACTAGACAGAGTGTGTGATTCAGCAGTATTTCCTCCTGAGCAAGGTCAGATTGTATGCATACTGTGGCTTCAAGCCAGCTCACCCCCACCCCTACACCAAGCAAGGCTGCCCGGGTATTCCACGACAAAATTTAATATATACCACCGGACAGAGAGGGAGCCATCTGTGCAGCAACTGATCTGAGAGGTTTAATTGATCCATCACTCTCATGTAAATCTAATTATTTGTAACGCATCTCAACATTGTTATCTCTTCTGCTGGACACCTTCAGTCTCCTTTTCTTATTTGTTTGGCTGCAGAGTTAAATAGTGCCTGAGAATCTTAACAGGTAGTAGGTGAGGCATGCCTATTGTTTACATGTCAGGGTAATCTACACACATGTGGAGTGGTAAATGCCTTGTTTCCCCCTTATTGAATGATACAGTAAATCTACACAAGATACTAGTTTTGTTAATAAAATATGCCTTTTTTATTCTATGCATTCTTCTTCTTCAACAAAACCCTTATATATATATATACTGTCAATGTCAAAACAGGATGCTTACATTACCCACAATGCAGCGCGAACCGCCGACAGCTCAGTCAGATGATTCAGTTATGGTAGTGAGTCTAGCTGCAGGCAGAGATGAGCAGTGGCCTACAGAGGTTTGTTCAGCTCAGTTCTTTATACAGTAACTCCACACCTCCAGATATTTTTCTTGTCAAAACTTGTGGTCTTCAGCTCCAGCCGATGCCTCAAATGACATCACTTGAGGCAATTTGTCAGATATTGTGAAGCTCTCTTTGGAGCCACAAAATGCTTTATAGGCAGTAGTAACTAATCACAATAGACTTTGAATTGAAGTCCATATCAGCTCCTGAATAAACTCCAGTGTAAGAAATACACACTGAAATGTATAAAACAAAGTATTGTTCCTACCATTCGTAGCCATTGTATGGTACTTTATTTTAAATACAGGCAGATATCTCTACTTATAGAAATCAGACATTTTATAAACATAATTTCAGTGCTTTGACGGGATCTTAAAGTTATTTAAATTTCTTGTTTTTATATCTGTTAGCAAAAACAACAAGAGTTTTTTCAGTAATTATTAGTGCTATTAAAACAACCTCTCAGTGCTCGTTAGTAGGGCGGGTTTTTGCTGCGCTCACTCAGTGGTAGTCATAGAAACAGCTTGTGCCTAATTACGTTGCCTGACTGAGGGACCAGTGGTTTGGATTGATCACGACATGAGGCAGGAAAACACTGAAATATTACAGAGGAAATGTTAGCTCTCAGTGGAGCCAACCTTTAATAAAGATGTCAAACGATTTGTTTGTATGTGTCAGTAAAAGCTGCAGTCTGCTAACAGATTGCAGAGTAACATCCTGTCATGCAGCGTTTGTGCGTGTTAATGTATGCACTCTGCTAGTCCAGCTGCAGTGACGTCGCTCAGGTCCTCCCATCCTCCTCCTGCTAGTGGCCCATTGTGTTTGTGTTATCTGTCTGCACCACCACACACATAAAAGAAATGGGCTGTTTACTGTGCTTTATCTTTCTGAGAAAGTAATTATCACTGGTCTTTATATAAGACGAATTTTTTTTGTTATTTAATTTTTTGCTCTTGATAGTTCGCCAGTGTCACTGCAGATTTTGGCAGTGGAGTGATTCTCTTCTCTCAGGTGGATTAGATTTTTGATGCATGCCTGGCAGGTGTGATTCAGGGACAAGGACAGCCAACCTCTTAGTGGTAGACAAGCTGTTGAGATATGCTGTGCTAATGGCATGAAAAAAACACCTGAGGACACTAATCAAATTGATCTATTCCCTTTTATTGTTCACCCTTCAATGTTTTTTGATCCTGCTTTCATAATTTGTCTTTACGGAGAGAGAGTCTACTGATGTCTCTCCTCGCCTTTTTCTGTCTCATTCAGTTTAAATTCAGCTCAGAGGTTCCTTGTTGCCGTAAAATATTAAAGTGCTCAACTCCAAAGCAAAGGCAGCAAGGTTAAACTAAAATTACACAGATCCACCAAACGTAATAATATAAAAGATAGTTTGTTTGATAGCTGAGATGTATTTGGCTGCTTTTGGGACTAATCCTGTCTTCTTTTCTTCTTTCTTCTATTGTTTTGTTTAATATCTTTTGAGACTGCAACTAAGAATTATTGTCATTATTTCTTTAATAAACCGATCAGATATAAGGTATTTGTTTCACAACAGTCAAAAACATCCAAAGATATTCAATAATTGCAATTAAGAAAAGCAGCAAATTCTTACAGTTAAAGAAGCTGAAAGTTGTGAATGCTTGGCATTTTTACTTAATAATTGACTTAAAATAACAATAATCAATCAGAATTGTTGCTGATTGGTGTTTTGTTGATTGACTTATCAGTTTTAGATGAATAGTTTTAAGCACCATGCTCAACCTTCTGCTTGTGTCCCATCTGCCTGTGATAGTACACGCAGTGAAAAAGATATTTCATGAATCTGAGCACAACCCCCGTTTTCTTATCAGCGTCTGTCACCCAGCCTGTGTTTCAGTCTCCCATGAGTCTAATTAGTGCAGACAAAGAAGAGAGCTTTCCTGGTCTCCAGTGCCCAACACATGCTGTGCCAGCT